TTTTTTTTTAGGTAAGTGAAATTATGAATGGAATAACAACGGAGGATGCGCGTAAATTTGCAGCACATTTGCATTCATATTTTTTAACTATGGGCAATGTGTTGGATGATTTAAATTTTAAAGTTGTCGCACTTTGCTTGGATGTTCTTCGCTTAACGCTGGAAAAAGTTGGATCACTTCTAGCGCCATATATACAGGTTTGCTTCGTTTGTGTTTTTTTTCTTTTTTCCAAATTCCAAAATAAATTATTGTCAAATGTCACTGAATAAGTAGAATTCACACGTACACTTGGAGAAATCACAGATACATTTGAAGTCTTAATTGAAACAAGCTTATGATAAATAATTTCTGAAATTTTAATTAATTTTTTAATATTAATGCTGAGAAGTTTAGTCAAGTTGAATTTATTTGATAATAAAAGAAGCTCAAACAAACAGATATTGATCTGATCTAAAGTGACAGTTGCAGAACATGTACATTCAAGTGTTACTCAATGAGTAGAATTCACACGTACGTTATGATGCTTTTGCATTTGAAATCTTAAATGAAATAAGCTTATAATGAATAATTCTTAAAATTTTAATTAATTTTTCAATCCTGATATCAAAAAATTTCTTTCAACCAAATTTACTTGATAATGTAATTTAATAATGATAGTTTGTTTTGTTGCTTGATTGAATTTGTTTTAGATTTAATCAAATTTTTCACTTTTGATAAATATATGTGATATTTGAAAGCTATTTTTTTTTTGAAAATTATATTCATTTTGATAAAAATTTTATTAATTCGATTGAATTTGATATAGCATTTGCGAAAGAATGATAAGAAAGAAATGCAAATTTTCACGAAATTGAGTTGGAGAGATTAGTTGGAGAGATTATGCATAGTCAAAGGTTAATTGTTATTGTTGCTAATGATGGAATTTGCATTTTTTGTTGCATTTGAATAATTTTTTACTAAAATTTTGCACGTTCATTCTAGCAAATCATTGGCTTAATTTCGAAACATTTTGGCAATCAAAAATCAGCAATAAAACAACAAATTATGGCAATTTCCATGATAACAATGAAAAATTGCTCACCGAAAAGTGTCATCTCATATTTGTGCATTTACTCGGAACATCGAAATTCACGAATTCGTGAAGAGGTTTTTTTTTTTCATATTTTCTTTTTTCTTACAAAATTTCAAAATTTCCAATTAATTGTTTCTCTAGTTTTTTAGCTTTACAAATTAATACTAATTTTATTTTGAAATAAATTTGTTTTTCGTTTTTTTTTTCTTTTGATCGAAAAAATAAACAATTTTGTACAAATTATTTATTTTCAATTTTATTCCTTTACACATGCAAATTAATTTGTCCATTGCATTTATTTACATCTTTCTTTCCTAGAAAATGCAAATAATTGAGCATTGCATGTGTGAAACCATTTAGTGCTTTTCATTCTCGTAAATTATTTATCTCTTCAGATTTTAAATATTATGACAGCTGCATTGCTTAAATTCGATTCACGCTCAATTAATTTAAAAGCAATTGCCGATGTTGTTGTTCCATTACTTGCTGACCAAAAAAGACGTGTTAGGTAGAAGTTATCAGTAATTTTTCCTAAATTATATTAATTATCAGAAATTTCTAGCTCCTTAATTAATCTAAATTCTTTGCGCAACTATACTTAATTATGTAAAATATTTGTTATATTTGTATAATTTCCTCAAAAGATTAAATCATTAAATTTTTTTAAAATAAAACAGTAAGCAATTTTATTAGTGGAAATTTTATTTAAAAAAAATTTTTTCAAAAACAAATAATTGAGATGAATAATCATTTTATCAATTTCTTATAAATGTTTCTATTAATTTATTAATTTCGTTCAAAATATATTATTTGATATGAGTTAAATGTTTCATTTCAATTTTTCAAAATTTTTTTGAATAGATTGGCTGCATTCGAATTATTTGCTGTTTTTGCGCATTTGTCGAGTAATTCTATCAAACGTTTGCTGAAATC